ATTGATATTTACTTACAGAACATGGTCTTAACTGCTAGCAAGACCAGTGGATTCCAATGACTACATATATAACTTTATATTAATTTATTACAAATATATAATATATTGATACTAGTATATATTATGCTACATTAATATCTCATTATATAGTGCTAACATATTACTATATTAATATAATAGTGTTACATTAACATATCATATTATGTTATTAATAATATTAATGTATCATGATAATAACACATTGATAATTAATATGATTAATGTGATATATAACATATTATATTAATATCAATACAATAATATTAATAATATTATTAACATATTATGCCTATTATATTAATATATTGTCTTATTATAAAGAATATATATTAGTATATAAAATTATATAAATATAATCATATAACAATATATGCTTTGCCAAAAATTTCAGGCGCATCCCTAGGACTGATGGTACAAGTGTCTGGATCATAAAGCTCCCCAGAACACCAATGACTTCACTTATTTTTAAGATGATGGGAAACTGTCAATGGAAAACCAAATAAAATTACTTAGTGGCAGTCATAGTAGTTACATCTCAAGAGGCAGTAATGATGTCAATCTGAATCACATAGAACTATAGTCCTGGGATTATTATTAACATGAGGAAGATCGTGGCTTTGTTTGGGTAAATATATGTAAAGTATAGACATCCAATAAAATATGTTTATTTACTGATTAATTTAAAAGTAGATCTCAGACACCCAAACAACACAGGGTATTTCTGTTGCTCTCAACCCACCACTCGAACCTGATGGTGTCACTGTATTGTTGAAGACACTGAACACTTTGGTCACAGAACACAGAGAAATCAAGCTGATGCTCGGCTGGAGGCTTCCTCCCTATAGCTAGGTTTCTCAGGGCTGGAAAATGCTCTACATGACGCTGGGAGAGAGAAACTGTCAGCAATTTTACACTGCTGTGAACTCCAGGAGCTGCAATGATAAGTAGTGTGTCAAGATATGCACACAGTTTTGAATGCCACAGGAGTGACTAATCATTCTGAGTGCATTTAAGACCCACCCCACAAGATGGAGCACATACCTGGTAATGTAACCTGGTCCAAGAATCAGTGGTTGGGTAAGTCATAAGCCCTAGAGGAGAATCTATTTTGTTTTTGTTGTTAGTGAAATAGCAATAAACTGCTCTCTAAATAGTTATCTTTTAGTGAAAAGTCTATTCACTTATTCGTCTATTTCATGTTTATGTGTGTTTATGAGTGAGTTTATATGCATGACATGTACTAGAAGAGGGCATCACATCCTCTGGAACTATAGTTACAGTTGGTTGTGAGCTACCACATGGGTATTGAGAATAAATTCACTGGGGTTGTGGCACATTCACAAGACTTGCATAAGATCGAGGAATTCATATTCCCGATTTGAATGAGAGGGGCTCACAAAGCCCTGTCCCTAGCTAAGGAGTTATTGGTAATTGATGACTGCTAGGGAAGGGAGCATTAGTTTTCTTCAGGAATGTGGATCTGGGTAGATTGCCCATGCTCTAGTGGTGGCCCTCTCCCCATACATATACCAGCCTCACTAATTAGACTCAGTAGTTTAAAAAAATGAGTAAATGAAGTTAGGAGGGAGATGTGGGGGTGGAAGAGAAGACTGGAGAGAAGTTGGAGGGAAAGCATGGAAGCAGATTTGATCAAAATACTTATATACATATCACAAATCTTAAAGAATGAAAGTATGCTTTTAAAAAAAGAAGTGAGGGGTTTATAGTCACCTGAATTTTTATGTTGCTAGATGTTCCCTAAGTGCTTCCTGCACAGAAGTTAGCAGTTTAGATGTTCTCCAATAGTTTGTGTGGTCCTGTGTGATGTGAGAGATGGTCAAACTTTTCAATGCTTCTGAGCCTGATATACAGAAAATCAAATTCAATTATTGCTGTAGTGTTTGCACTTGTCTTATCTAAGAATTGACTCTCTTTGTGCAGGGTTTTACACTTCCTTTATTTTGAATGGTTTCTTCATTCTTTGCCTACATGTGCTGTGGAGGTCTTTGTGACCACCACCGTTGGCAGAGTAATGATCCATGGAACGTAAAAAGGTAGTTTGGTTCAACAGGACTAAGGTGGCTGTGTTGGTTCAAACTTAGAGGATCTGACCCTGAATAGTTTATTTTTGGCATCGTTAAGCACAGCACAATTTGGTGAAAACCTCCCTGGTAATAATTAACTCAATCCTGTGTGCACAATAAAGCACAAAGTAAGCTAACTAAAAATCTAATGTGACTAAATCAAAACTCTATGTAAAGTTCACGTAACACCTTCCATAAAGATGGGTTTATTGATTGACTGAGAAAAACAAGTTTGCAATATGGTCCGGGTGAGGATCTGTTGTGGTCTTGGCTACTCGCATAGCTCAAAGGTTGCCAGGCTATTAAGCACATCTGCTCCCAGCCTTCTGTGGGGAGGGTGGGATGGCAGGTTATATATTCTTTCCTTTGATGGAACAACCCTGTGTGTTTAACATTCCTAGTGCTTTTCTATGAGCACAAAGGACCTCCCATGCCTCTACAATGTGCATATGTTTTTTATTTATTTATTTATTTATTTATTTATTTATTTATTTATTTATTTTATTTTGCAATACAGTTCAGTTCTACATATCAGCCACGGATTCCCTTGTTCTCCCCCCTCTTGTCCCCCTCACCTTCCCAAGCCCACCCCCTATTCCCACCTCCTCCAGGGCAAAGACTCCCCCAAGGACTGAGATCAACCTGGTAGACTCAGTCCAGGCAGGTCCAGTCCCCTCCTCCCAGGCCGAGCCAAGCGACCCTGCATAGGCCCCAGGTTTCAAACAGCCAACTCATACAATGAGCACAGGACCCGGTCCCACTGCCTGGATGCCTCCCAAACAGATCAAGCCAATCAACTGTATCACCCATTCAGAGGGCCTGATCTAGTTGGGGACCCCTCAGCCATTGGTTCATAGTTCATGTGTTTTCATTCATTTGGCTATTTGTCCCTGTGCTTTATCCAACCTTGGTCTCAACAATTCTTGCTCATATAAACCCTCCTCTTTCTCACTAATTGGACTCCCAGAGCTCCACCCAGAGCCTAGCCATGGATCTCTGCATCCAGATCCCTCAGTACTTGGATGGGGTTTCTAGCACGACAATTAGGGTGTTTGGCCATCCCATCACCAGAGTAGGTCAGTTCGGGCTGTCTCTCAACCATTGCCAGCAGTATGTTGTTGTGCATATGTTTTTGAGGGTTATTATTTCTTAACTGACTTTTAGGAATACTTTATACTTAAAATAATTAAACCGTTTTGGCTATCTCATTGAAAAATGAACAACTTCTTTCTGAGTTCCCTAAATATTGGAGCCCGTTCTCTAAATATTGGTAGGTGGTAGGTGTGGTGAGTTGAAATTAGAGACTGTTATGCTTCAGCCTGCTCAAATGTCAGCTGCTTGACAGTGCTGAAACAAGTTTAGGGTTCTCCCTTCCATGCATATCTTGAACCACTTCTGACCAGCATTAGCTTTGCAGCATATGGGCAAGTATGGATCTCAGTTGCTCCAGATTGTACATATTGGAGTCCGTAACGTCAAAGCCAAGGATGCTCTAAGTATAGTGGATATCTGTTCTATGATCCTGAAGCACAGCCCTAGAGATGTAGAAGGTAATTGTTCTATCTGCCTATGACCTTGAAGTACATGCCCTGGGGCATGGCCTCTCAGCTACCCTTAAGACCTGAGATGCATGTACGCAGTCTCTCTTCTCTCCTTCATGGGTTTAGATGCTGAGACGGACCAGGTGGAAGAACAGCATGGGAATGTAACTCAGCTTTCCAGGACCCTACGATAAATCTCCTGTGCTGTAGTGAGTTTTCCTCCCTAATAAATTCCATCACCTTTTAAACAGACTCCATGGATTTTTTGCATTATCTAGAGCCCAACCATATGGATCTGAGCCCCTACTGGAGCTATTCACGTGACCAAACCCGAGCTAAATGTGTTGGTTGTAGAGGAAGCAGTTGGAGCACTGAGAGCTGTTACTAGTGGACTCACCTCTGTGCTTTCTACTCCTGCTCAACACTAAACATCTCATGCAAAGCAGGAGCCTGTAGGGAATGTCCACATGTATGAACTTGGTGCTCTCAATACTGCAAATGGAAAACTTCATGGCCAAGAAGAAGCCTGACTTTTGGCTCAGGGCCATCTGTTTCTTATGTTACTCTCTTCTTCACCGAAAGGGCAGGGCTCCCCACCAACCCACCAATGAGTTCTTCCTTGTCTGTGCTTCTGTATATCTGAGTTTTTTTTTTTTTTTGCATGTCTGCATTCAGCGCTCCCGTTTCCATGACTACCTTATGTTGCCAGCTCCAACTCAGGGTGTATGGCTGTATATCTTCAGGCTCTCTAGTCTGTGATTTTATTTTTGTTTGTTTTAAGGGCCCTAGAGAAGCTTTGTACCAAGAAACATGTTCTGTTTTGAGATGGTATGTGGGTATAGTTCTCCAAGGTACAGAGAATGCCCAAGTGAGTACCTTATACTCTGACTTGTTACTCAGGTTTCCACTTGGATTAAAAATTATGAGAACTAAGCTGGGCGATGGTGGTGCATGGCTTTAATCCCAGCACTTGGTAGGCAGAGGCAGGTGGATCTCTATGAGTTCAAGGCCAGTCTGGTCTATAGAGTGAGTTCCAGGACAGCCAGGGCTACACAGTGAAAACCTGTCTCAAAAAAAAAAACCCAAGAAAACAAACAAAAAAGTTGTGAGAAATATGGGCCTGCTCTGTGGCTAGGATTGACTTCCAGGCCCTTTCTGAACAGGGCCACCTGGCTTAACTTGCCAGTCTTCCACTTCCCCTTGCCCTCACTGGGAAACTATCTTCACTGGTCATATGAACTCTTTTGTGAATTCTGATGTGCTTCCTCTTTCTCTCTCTTCAGTATAAAGTTTCTCCTTTGTTTTCCTGACTGTTCTCAATCCTGGTGTCACCCAGAGCCGTCTTCCACTCCACCATCTTGACTTGACTCTTCAAAGTGAATGATTCTGGAGAAGAGAAACCACTTTGTCATCAGTCGAGATCTTCAGTGATGAGAGAGAATCACATGCCTGTGGATGGGAGGTACTGGGAAGAACACAGCATTCTGTGATCATCATTGTGTGATGTTCCTGATTGCAGATCCACCACCTGAATGTAATCATGCAGACACTGTGGACTGATCCACTTTGAGGAACTGTAAAAATGTTCAAATATCAAGACCATGAAAACAGAAAGATTGTGAAACTATTTTGGACTGGAGGGACTGGTTAGATGTGGTAACTAAGTGTGATATTGTGATTGTGGTTTGAAATATTTTATTAAAGAAATGTTACTGAAAAATTGTTGAATCTTAGCCAGTAGATGCTTTGACATCATTTTAGTCATAATCTGGTGATTGTGATGAACACCTTGTGGATATGGAGGAAATATTGTTGTTTTTAGGAAACATACTGAAGAACTCAGGGCTTGTAAAGATTGTGCCATCAATTACTCTCAAATAGTCAACAAAAATATTCTTTGTGGTATTAAAGATGACGAGACTCCAATAAAACACATAAGTTTATATGAGTTAGCACAGAGATTGATTGCATTAAGTACATTTTTTAAGGAAAGAAGACAATATAGAAAAGGTTAGAATTGAAATGGCCCAAAATTCATGATGAATATTCAAAAAGACTTGTCATAAACTTTCACATAGGAAAAGTGCACTTCTGGAGTTTGTGATGATATGGAGTATTGTAGGGAAAGATCCATACATAGTCATAACAGGAAAATGGATAAACCAATAAAAATCAAATACTCTAGTTTGGCTGGGAGGGAAAAGGTTCATTTCATTTTGTACTTCTAAGTCACAATCTGTCATTGAGGGAAATTGGAACAGGAATTCAAACAGGAATTGAAGCAGAAACTATGGAGGAATACTGCTTCCTTGCTTGCTCTCTCTGGCTCATGCTTGGGCAACTTTCTTACACAATACAGGGCCATCTGCCCAGGGATGGCACTGACCACAGTGGGCTTGGATCTCCTTTATCAATTGGCAATCAAGAAAATGTACTGCAGACATACCCACGGGCCAATATGATCAATGCAACCTCCCAATTGTTTTGAGACTCCCTCATATAACTATATGAGCTGAAGCTAAGTAGGAGAAGCCCTCAAATGAAAATTTATTTCAATTTTTTCAATTTTTATTTTGTGAGAGTTTCATCCATGCATAAAATTTTCTCAATTTTTATTTATTCATTTATTTTGGTGGCATGTGCACACAGGAGGTTGAGATCATCTCAAAGCAAATACAAAAATCCCACTAAGTCAATACATGAAATGCAAAAAGCAGATGGTTAAAAGTGGGGAGACAGGTTTATCACTTTGAAATTCTTGCTTCCTTAGCAACTGTTGTAATCCCATCCCTGTCACGCCCCGCTTCAGTGCTGGCTCTAGCCAGGACTCTGCTTTGCCTTGGGGTGAATGCATGCACAGTCTGTTCCTTGAGATGTCCTGTAGGTACATCTGTGGCCCAGCAGATGTGTGAATGAGTACACCCAGTATGCTGTCTGTGTTCTTCTGTGTGGGTTTTTTTTAGGCTTCTTCTTTCCAATTTCATATCCCCTAAGGTATCTGGCAGCTTAAGGCTAGATGATGACACCCCAATTTGCAGTTTCCAGAACAGCTCAATTTCTTAGGCAGTGAAAGTCATGTAATGACTGACTAATTTACTCTCTTTCATTCTGAAAGTTAGGGAAGGTTTTATTAGGTGCTTCACAGGACTTTTAATTCAAACTGAAAAATCAAATATCCTTAAGTGATATTGGGCACATGTAAATTCAAATCAAAAGAAAAATCTCATTTTGAAAGGATGAACTCTTCTGTGAATAGAGACCAACAACAACCTTTTTATTTGACAACAGCCCCAAGACTTTCTCAGTAGAGGGAAGGAAGGGCTTGCAATGCACAGACAGACTTTGGATGAATAGAAGAAACTAATAAAGTTTTTAACACTCTGTTGGGGCAATATGATTTGGGACCCATGGGTCCCAAAATTTAGTTATAGCTCTCAAACTCACAAGGATTCCCGTGAATAGTTGCTAAGTACTTGACAACTGGAAATCTAGAGAAATATCTGTAATCATAAGGCTCTTAGAAGTCATATTCATGCTAGATTCCAGAGGGAGGGATTTCAACATACAAAAGATCCCCAACTAGGACTCCCACTTGTGATGAACAGCAAAGATCATCACTATGCCAACTGTAAGAAACAGCAGTTGAGTAATTGCACCCATTGAATCCTGGGCTGCTGTTCATACCCACTATGCATGGGTTACCTATGTGGGTCCACTGAGAAAGAACACACTAGTACACAATTATGTGAAGTGGGTTTATTATTTATAGACAGGTAGTAAAGGACTGAAGACCTAAGTCCATTGTGCTCTACATGTTGACCTAAGGCTCATGGGAGATGCTGTGGGGAGGATAAAGATGTTCCTGAGTGTGACCAATTTGCACCACAGATGAGGAGCCCTGGAAGGCTGCCTGCTCAGGAGCCATGGGACATACTGGAAAAAGATTTGAAGGACAGCCCACTCTTACTGGGAGAGTGCATGTTGCCATAGAAGGTGAGGAGATGGCTGACAAAGGAGGAAAAGAATGGAGAAAGGTTAGGAAAGGATGGAGACTAAAAGTGATGTAATGTGCTTTTGACATGCATCTGTAGAGGAATAGTCATGGCCTCATTTGATCTTGGAATGCCACAGAGGACAAAAGTCCTGTGTTTGCAATGCCCTGTGAAAATGTGTGAGAATGTGCTTTAGTTGCCAAGAAAATCAGAATGACTGAGTCTGAAATGGGCACTGTCTGCCAAAGGAAAAAAAAAACTTGGCATTCACAGAGCAAAATCTTCAGTGCCCACCTCCACTTTGTTCTGTTTCAGCTTAACCATCGTGGTGACTCATGAGATGTTCAATTAAAAATATTTGTGAGTTTTCCATTGAAGGCTTTCTGGTCCACCTCAATTATCTAAGCTAGTGAAGAGTTCTAGGGTCCCATTTCATATCTTACTGTGCAGAGTTTCTTGGGACAGGTCTTTTAGTAGATAAAGATGCCAATTCTAGTAATAGGAAAAAATCTATTGTTTAAAACCATGATCCCTTATCATCCCCTGCCCAAAGAGAGATCCAAGCTGGAGGAACCAGGAAGGATGATGTGGAGTTAAGGAGGAGCAGGAGTATCCTCGATGCATACGGGGCAGAAAGGCAGGGTAAGTAGAGTGTAAAGGAAGAAAAACATCTGGAGCTTCTACAATGAGGTCTGGGGTATATCTTAGATTCTGAAGTTACAAAAATCGTCATTACAACATTTATGGATGTAAGTCCGATTGTTGAAGTTGTACGTCAAGTCCTTGCAGAATCTCTGACACACCATGTATGATATTTGGAGAGTGTTATCTGCAACAGAAAAGAACCAAAGACATCAAGCAGTGACCCCAGTATCCAAGGCAGACCATACCTGGCCTTAACCAGACGGGCTTGTGGATGGCTTCCCAGCATCCCCTTCCCAAGAGCACCAACGCAGAAATTGAGGGGAAAGCCACCAGCTTGACTTGTTTGCCTGTGGTCCCCGACAACTCAAATCTATGCATTTGCTTCATTCCTTCCCCTGCTAGAAGGTGAGAAAAACACAGCTTTGGTATCTTCAAAGAAAAAAAAAATCTGTCTGACTGTTTTCATCCTGCCCTGCATCTTTTGCCTGCCTCCTAGGTCTCTACCCGCGGTGCTCAAAGCACTTTGTACTGTGGCCTGGGTCAGAGATGCCCAAGCTTCTCACGACTTTGCCCAACCCTGCAGCTTACTGGAGTAGATCCTTAGGCTCATGCATGATTCGTACTTCTGAGCATGGCAAACACCGAAGCCTCTTCTGCAGTGGTCTGCCGGTGTGCGAAGGTGGCATGTTACACACTTCAGTGATGTTGCTTCTGGAGAGAGCACAGAGCTTGCCGTGAGGGCAGGGACTTGGGACGGGGAGGGAGATGGCAGAGCTGGGGGGAGCAGCCTTCCAAGGGTAGGTGGGCAAATGAAGAACTGATGGTTGAGTGTTGAGGAAGTGACAGTTGAACTTCCCTTTTTATCAACTCTTTTGCCTTTAGCGATGGAAAGAAAAGGCTACTGAGTAAGTAAAAGGATTCTGGTCTCAATTTCAGCCTTTGCATTCTGGATAACTTTCTCTCACTGGTTCAGGGCTCATCTATTTGGCTCAGCTGACTGCCCAGTGAGCTTCAGGAATCTGCCTGTCTCTGCCCCTTTAGCAATGGGATGATAAACTCACATCACAAGATCTGGTGTTGTTTTAGGTGAGTTCTACAGTTTATTTTTCTAGCTTAAAAATGGTCATTGACCTTTAGGAGGTTCTCGAAGAGTGAATAATTGAAGTATGGGCTCAATTAAAAAAAAATTCTTTCCAGAGGCTGGTCAGCTGGCTTAGCAGGTAAAGTTGCTGTCAAGCCTGATTGACTTGAGTTCGAATTCTAGCACCCACATGATGGAAGGAGAGAAATTACTTCCAAAAGTTGTCCTCTGACCATGTGTATAGTATGGCATGTGCAACACACACACACACACACACACACACACACACACACACACATGCAAGCACGCACACATGCCTGCACACACAAGCACACACATTAAAAAAATGTTTAAAAATCTCCTACTGGTGATAAAATTAGAAAGGATATAGTATTTATTGATCATCTTATTAGGACCATGTTGTTTCAAATTAGATGTAATTTTTTTTTTTTTTTTTTTTTTTTTTTTTTTTTTTTTTTTTTTTTTTGGTTTTTCGAGACAGGGTTTCTCTGTGTAGCTTTGCGCCTTTCCTGGGACTCACTTGGTAGCCCAGGCTGGCCTCGAACTCACAGAGATCCGCCTGGCTCTACCTCCCGAGTGCTGGGATTAAAGGCGTGCGCCACCACCGCCCGGCTTTAGATGTAATTTAATGCACTGTACTCTGATCTCACAAATCATTGTAAGCAGGTTTTGTCTCCACTTGTCAAATTAGAGAATTCAGGACAGTGACTGACTGACAAATTTGGAAAAATCTGTCTGATTCCAGGGTATACACTTCTCCTAAGCAGCTTGTAACAAGCTCCCTGAAATGGCTATCAGAAGCCAATGTCTAGGACTAGGGCACATCACAAGATTATCAAATGACCAGCTCCCTCAGCAACGTAGATTTGTGAATAGAATGGATACTTTAAGGAAGTCTTCCTTGGCATCTAGATTATGGGGTTTGACAGTGGCAGAAAGGGCAAGAAAATTAGGCCTACACACCCAGAGGGACGTGGCAGAGTGCTGGAAAAGACAGAGAAGATGGAAGAGAAGGCAGAGGAGCATTCTGAAAGCATCTCCCTTCCTTCCCTCCCAAATATGGTCAAAGCTCTGCCCACATGGACATGGCTGTGCTTGTGGAGATTCACTGCAGCTCCCTGGGGATCCTGCAGTGGAGCTCATTGCTCAGGTCTGGGACTCACCCACAATGAGGCAGAAGAGGGAGAAGAGCGGCAAGAAGTGTCTGTTCATTTGGACCCAGATGTCTTGTGCCAAGCAAAGCTGTGAAGGGCTGCAAGCAGAGCTCTGCTGGGCTCCAGAGAGAGGCCTTCTCCTCCAGCAGGAGTTGGTGATTATTCATGCCTAAGGGGAGCCAGTCACACAAGGTTTATTTTGAGAGCTCAAGTTCATTGGCTGTGGTCTCCATAGTCTTGAGACCTGGAGCCTGAAGTTGACCAGGTAGTTTTAAGGTAAAAGACCCTGAAATGTGAACAATTTCTTGGCTAAAAGCTAGAAATGTTTTTGAGCCTGTGAGCAGCTTTGCATTTGCTGGAGACCTAGGGTGCCCGAAGGCTTTAAGCCAAAATGTCTCTGATTCTGTCAGGGGCAGAAGCCAAGGATGGCAGAAAGGAGGGTGTATCTAGATTTTCCTTGTCCCTTGCCCTGCAAAGGAGTATCCCTTCCCTGGACACCATACTGAGTACATGACTGAAACTCAGAGGCACTTGGATACCTGAATGGAAACTGCATTGACCAGCTAACTCCTAACCCCATCCCTCCATCCAGGAAAACCTTGTTATACCCAGGGCAGTGAGGATCATGGTATCCCCCTCTAGGATACCTCTCCTGCCTTACAGGAACTCTGTCATTTTCTTTTCTGTAATAAAAAAACCTCTGTAAAATTCACTCTCGCTGGTCTGGAAATTTCATTCTTCAAATTTGCAAGCCAAGAGCAATGCAAGTCACTGGCGAGTTCCCAGGACTCTAGCCAACCCAAGAGTCAAGAAGGCTCCATCACTCTCAAAGGTATCCCAGAATTCCCACAAGAACAGAAGACAATAATGACAATGGACAATTGTTAATGTTTCTACTGTGTTAACTTCTTTTTACAATATAGTCTTTATCATAATAATTATAGTTGTCCCCCAGTATCAAGAGCATGTTGACTCCAGGAACCTCCACATATAACACAATCTGTGATGTTCAATGTGTAAAATCGTGTAGTATTTATATACATCTTATGCATATACTCCTGTATTGTTTAAAACATATTTAGGTTAGCCAAAGTACCTCACAATATAGTACTTGTATTACAGCATAATAATATAATATAAAATAATTCTACATAAATAGTTATTGTTACTGAACTTGGGGTCACAGTCTGTCCCCCAAAAAGCCAGGTTTGGCCACTCCTCCTCCAGAAGTGAATTAAAACAGCCAAATTAATAGTAAAAAGTAGAAAAATGAGATTTATTCAGTGTAGCCACATTGGGGAGAGGGACAAAGAGATCCAGTTGCTCTTCCAGTCCATCTTTGGGATCCTAAAGTGAGATTAAAGTTTAAACAGAGGGCCAGAGATATGCATGTCGAAGCAGCCCAGGTCTAGGTTTGGTCCCAGCTAATAGTGACCCATTATTGTGTAGGCTTCAGTTTCCATCCTGGGAAGTGGTCAGACAAATTCTGAGAACTGTGTGAAATCTCTCCTCTGGGAGCCAAGTTCTCCCTCTGATGGCATCAGACTTTAGCCTTCTTCTCCTGGCATGGTCTCAAGGGAAGGGGACTCCAGTTTCTTGGGGTTCATTGTATCAATATCAAAAACCTATTGTCTGATATGTCAGACTGAGGGACAAAATGTCTGTTTGGACTAGTTTCATTTATGCAGTTGCTTATAGCATGCTGCATGGCTTAGGGAATAATGACAAGGAAAATTGAATTTTTTTTTCTGAAAACTTTCAATGTTTCAATGTGGCTGGATGTGGAATCTGTGGCTACCAAATGATGGCCGCACAATTGTTGTTATGATATTGCCATTCTGATCCTGTCTTCACAGAGGAGGAAACTAAGGCTTGGTGAGGTCTAGTGTCATTCCCAAAGGTCACACACCTGGTGACTAACAGTACTAGTACTTATAGGAAGTTTCTCTAATTAGAGTTCACACTTTTCACTACTATGATTCAATACCTCTTTGAGACTTATTCATACATTCAAAATACAGACACTGCTCCATGTGTGAGAGAAGAACAATGAACAAGCTCATCTGGCCCGTTTCCTTATGGGGAAGAGAGAGGTCAGAGGAAAAGACAGACAGCTGTGACCAAGCTGGACCTTCAACCTAGAACTTCCGATTCTTGCCTTGGATTCCCCCTATCAGAAATCTACCCTTTTAGGACAGGGACCACGTACTGTGTGGGGCGGTAACATCACCCTTCCACTTACATTATCATTGCTAGGGCCAGAGCCTGGTCCATGACACTTCTGACAAGCTAGGCTCAGCATTTCTATTAAAGAAATTTATGTGGCCACATTAAGAAGAGTTGTGCACATATCATAGTTCCAGGACTTTGGAGGCTGAGACAGGAGAGTGATGAGTTCCAGGCTAGCCTAGGCTACACACCAAAACCCACTATTTCTAGAAAATCCAGGTCTAGGAATGTAGCTCAAGGGAATAATGTTTTTCTAGATGTGAAAAGGCCCTAAATTTATCCTCATCACAGGAAAGAAGGAAAGAAGGAAAGAAGGAAGGAAGGCAGGAAAGAGAAACAAGATAATCAGATAGGGGAGGGTAAGTTTTAGGAGAAATTCCGAGTTTGCAAATTTTCTTTTCTTTTAAAAATGTTTTATTACATTTTTATTTAAATGTGTGTGTGTGTGTGTGTGTGTGTGTGTGTGTGTGTGTGTGTGTGTGTGCAACATTGCACGTATATGGAAGTCAGAGGAGAACTTGCAGAAGGCAGTTTTTTTTCCCCACTGTGTGGATCCTGGGGATCAAACTCAGGTCATCAGGCTTGGAGGGAGAGTCTTTACCAATGGGCAATTTGGTGGCCCTAGAACATTTCTTTTCTATGACTCATCAAAGCATAGATCTTTCTTTGCCCATGAAAAGATCTGAAGTCTTAAAGTCTTAGGGAAGAGAAAAGAAGTCCAACAGCTTCTAAAACGAAGAGTGAGATTTTGACACATTTGAGTCTAGTTTTCTGTTCTGCCAGGTTTAGGTAAAAAAAAAAAAAAGATAGAAACTAGATGGGGTTTTCCAGAGTATTCCTAGCTTTATCAAGAAGCCAAGTTCAGGAGATGGTTCAGAGGATAAAAGCATTAGATGCTGTTGCAGAGGACTGAGGTTCAGTTCCCAGCACCATGTGATGGCTTACAATGATCCTTAAACCAGTTCCAAGGGATCTGATGCTCTCTTATGGCCTCCACAGGCACCAGGAATCCATGTGGTGTATTTAATACTAAATAAATCTTACAGGAAAAAGAAGGCAAATCCTACAGCTTTTGTAACAATAGGATCTGGACCATACCGTTACTCAGGCCTCACACAGCCTCCCTGCCTACAGATGCTCACCAATGCCTGTCTGAATGCACAGCTGTCAATCTTAGGTTAAAAGACTGCCAGGTGCCTGGGTTTCTCACCTGGGGAAGTGAATTTATATTAAAGGGGGCTAATGGCAGCCACATCCAGTACCCTCCTCTCTGTTCTCAATTCCTGGTTGGGAATCAGAGACCCTGACTGCAGGTTCATGCTGTGAAACTCCTCTTCTTCAGATACCTATAAGAAGGGACCCCAGTCCTGCCTCGCGGGCCTGACCAGTTTCAGGGCCTCTAACATGGTGTGCTGTGGCCTGAACTCTCCACAGGGACCCAAGCTGTTGTCTGTTTGTCCATGTCATGAATAACCTTTCCAATAAACTTACCCCCCTCCCTCCCATCATCCACCTTGGTGTCTCCCTTGAGCTCCACATCTGAGACTTTTCAAGGCATTTAGTTTGTCCTTTGTTTTCCTTGCTTTGTTCTCTGTTGAGAGGCAGAGTGAAAGGAGAATTATGGCAATGGAAGCACTGTTGGAATCCCTGGCCACTCCCCCAGCTACATGGCCTCACATGGGCTGTCTAGTAGCCAAGCAAGAGGCTTCGTCATCCTGGGGACTTATGTCCTACGTAATCAGCGTGCTGTGTGGTCACATAATTTGCATGCAGTGTGATCATGTAATCTATGCGCATGCATGGCATAGTTACATAAGCCCATGTGCGCATGTGTGTGGTGGGGGTGGGGTGGGGGGGGTGGGTGGTAATCCATAAAAAGCGGGTCACAGACTCCTCCCCCCTCTTCTTCCTCTCTCTCCCTGAACAACCTTCCACAGGCCTAAGCCCTTCCCTCCTGTTCTCTTTCCCCTAATAAACTCCTGCAGTGGGTTTTGTCGTGCCTCGTGGCTTTTCTCGAATGGTAAACAGCGCCACTTAATGAATAACACAGTGCCTCATAATAATAATAACAGGCACACATTCAGGGTCCCCTGGAGTGGGTTTGCACAGGGTCTGTTCTTCCTTCAGGGGCCTCCTTGGCAGGCACTTTTATGAGATGACCAGTGAGGTTTAAACCTTTACCAGCTCACTTCTAGATTGGTGGTGAAAGTTTGCCATTCCATCCAAATACTGGTGTACTCTGCCATGGCCTTCATTTTCCCATAGGCCCTGATCCATCCAATTTCCTCCTGAAAAAATACCTTGTTTCTTAACTCGTCACGAAGCCGCAGAGAATGGACATTAAAACCTGTGAATGGAGGATAAGTAATAGAATGGGAAATGTTTTCCTGAGGGTGGTGAAACTGGAGAGTAGGGTGAGGGATGAAGTGTTAATTACACAAAGGTCACAAATTAACACAGGGAATAAACCAGTTGGCAGAGAAGGTGATTGCCCCCAGTAAAGTTAACATGTAACAGCGCATGTGTCAAAAAGCCTTCCTTATACAAATGCCTGTTACAAGTCCCTTCCTCTTAACTCTGGCTCTCTTCTTCCCTTGAGAGTGGATTCTTTCTTAATCGACTGTCTCTATTTCTGCCACTATCCTCATCTCTGCCCAGATGCTCATTGGGATACAAAGACCTGTAAATCTTAACAGGTGACCACTGAACTCCATTATCCACCAACATCAATTGTCAAGCCTGTGGGGCCCACAGAGACTCCATAGTGTGGCCTTATTCCATCTTGACCCAAGGTCAGAGAGTTCAAGCTTGTTTTCCCCCACAAGGCTGCATAACAGGATGTTTTGGCCTAAGGCGTGGTTACCAGGTGTCTTATACTTCAAGGCCTGATTACAGGATGATTTGCCATAAGGTATGGCTACTAGATGTTTTGAGAATTAAGAAAGTATTTACACTTGTTTGTACTTTCTACCTTGAACCATGATGTCCTTGAGAGGGAGAGGTCTTTTGCCTCTCCCCTTGCTGGTGTATAAAAAGCTCATGAGGAATAAACTTGGGGCAACTGTGGTATTGACTCAGAGCCCTCCCAAACCTATTCTGTGTCTCTGTCTTTTTCTTTTATGTCTATGTCTTTATTTTTCATCTCTATTATTTCTCAATCCACTCTCCCCTGCATCAAGGACTGTCCAAAGGTCGAGCAGGACTCAGCAAAGCCAGCCAGCCACTCAGGAGGTAAGATTTATGTTTCTAATACCTTAAGCTTCCTATTCAGACTGGGGGTGACTGAGAAAAGCTGCTCCAAGTAGTAGACATGGGCCAGGCGATGCACACCGCAAAATTGTGCGCTGCTGACATCCAGGCAAAGGAGCGGGGAATGCTTTCCTTTCCCTTTCTTCTCTAATTGGAGTTACTTTCTCAGCTGCCAGTCTGCCTTTGATTTCCACTTTACTTTCCCTTCCCTGATGCCCACAGGGATGGTGGGCTTAGGCACAAGGTAAGGAAGGGGACTATCTGGGTCCTTACTGTTAGTCACATGCCAAGAGTCTAGGTCTTGGGGATTTGGCATCAGGAAACCCAGGCATGTGGGTGGCCGTCCTATTGGTTGGCTCTGAGTAGTGGTGGCAGCAGCAGTGGTGGCAATGGCCCCATCGTGTCAGGTCTGGTCTATGCCTCACACCTCATCTCCTCTCCGTGGCCTGCTGTGCCATGAAGCCATAGGGGTCAGGGGTGTGCTGGGACTTCTGCCACTGTCCTTCCATGATGGTTTCTGGACTTAGGGTGAGGTTATGAGGCATTTGTGGTAGGGTCATGCCCCTTCCCCTGACAGTGCATGCCTGGTTGTGAGACCTTCTGATGTCTGTTCACCTACACTCAGGTGGGGGGTGGCAGTGGCAGCCATAATGCTGTGACCATGATATGGTTGTCAGTGTCCCAAGTCTGAGGCCACCGACTCCTCCAAACACTGATGTTTTCCCACCTTTTTCTTGTTGCTGGAACCGTGATCTCCCGTCCTCCTGCTCATCCTTTCCAGTGCTCCTCCTGACTTGATCTCCCGTCCTCCTGCTCATCCTTTCCAGCGTTCCTCCTGACTTGTGTTGCTGGAGCCGTGATCTCCCGTCCTCCTTCTCATCCTTTCCAGTGCTCCTCCTGACTTGTGTTGCTGGAGCCGTGATCTCCCGTCCTCCTTCTCATCCTTTCCAGTGCTCCTCCTGACTTGTGTTGCTGGAGCCGTGATCTCCCGTCCTCCTTCTCATCCTTTCCAGTGCTCCTCCTGACTTGTGTTGCTGGAGCCGTGATCTCCCATCCTCCTGCTCATCCTTTCCAGCGCTCCTCCTGACTTGGCACTGCACATCCCTCTCGTCATCCAGTGTGGACCCAAAAGGGTCACAATCCACAGGTTGAGAGCCACTGCTTTAGAGTATGATTGGGTAGTAAGACACTTGACACTTCTTTGAACATGAAGTATAGAAAAATAATATCCACTTGCAATTTTAACCTGGATGGCAATCTGAAAAACAAAGCACAAAACCAGACCCATTTTTTTCAGGCAAGCCTCTTCTCGGAACCTAGTAGCTTGGGCCTTTTTACAGCCTCTTAGTGGGGGAGATGTTATGCCACAGAGGTAAAATAAATGACAAAGAAACCCATAAAATCAACTTGTTCCCACTTTCTCAGGATAAGGTATAAGAAGAGAGAGAAAATCATGGGCTCAGACTACCTCAGGGGTGAATAGGCCCAAGAGAGTTGGGGGGTGCAAACCAGTGTTTGTAAGGACATGATTGGTTCACTGATGACATCTAGTAGGGTTACAGAACTAGGAGACACACAACCTGTCAGGCCTCTGGAGGATTTTGCGTGTAGGTGAAGAAACACTATCCTGACTCCAGAATCTTTCTTTTTCCTGTAACTCCCCCTAGGAAATTCAATTCTCCAAGACATGCCACTACAATGAATCTTTAAAAATTGGAATAAATTTCATCCTAAAGGAAAAAAGGTCTAATATTTTATTGTAACATCATCTGGCCTCATTATAAGATAGATGCTGGAAATTTGGCCAAAGGATGGAAGGATATCCCCATTTTGTTATTTAGCTATTAAAATGGGAAAGAAATTAACCCAAATCTATACAACAAACTTCATCCCTTGACCCTTTGGCAGTCACTAGGCCTTTCTTACATCTCAAATATACAGTTATTAAAATTTTCTATGTCTTTTCTACTAAAAGTACATTCTTGTTTAGTAATGGTGTCATATGTATTTATGGCAATTGTTTCATGTAATCATTTATGTGTCATTTTGTGTATTCAACTGTGTGGAGCAAAACTCAGTCTTGTCCTAGAATTCTTCAAAATTGAGTAACAAAATTTGTAGCCAAACCTTATTTTCACATTTTTAACTTATTGTGTGATAAAATTATTATTTGGGGCATGCCTGATTACAGACATGTGAGAGCACACACATAGGTGTGGTGTGCATATATGTGTATATGTGTGGGGTGTAATCATTTTTAAATAATTTTAAATTTCACTTGTGACATTGTTACCTGTGTTCCCTTTCAAGGCATCATTTTTTTTAAAGATTCTTATCTTGGTCAATTTGAAACTAAAGAAAAGAAGGTAATTTAAGAACAAAGCTATTGTTGCTTTCTCAACCTGCTTAGAGTCTTATAATTACCCTAGGCATGGTGTCTTTGAAATTTCTACTTTGTCTTAAGAGTTCTGTCTTTAGAAGTACAGATGTTAGAGTAAAGATTATTTAATGATCTGAAGAAAATCAGATCAATAGTCTAACATAAATACTGGCAAATGATAAATAAATAAGAACTGCAAAATCTTTGTGTTTAAAATATCCCCATGTAAAATTAATGCGTTAGTCAGTCATCATCAGAGAGGCTTCCTCTGGCAGCAGATGGGAACAGATGCAGAGACCCAAAGCCAGACATTACATGGATAGAGACTCTAAATGGGAAGTCTCCATCAAATCCTTCCCCCACAGAGCTCAGGGAACCCCTCAGAAGAGGAGGCAGAAGAGTGTAAGAGCCAGAGGGGATGGAGGACCCCAGGAAGAGAAGGCCCTCTGAATCAAGTGACAAGGCACACATGAACTCACAAAGACTGAAGCAGCAAGCACAAGTCTGCACCAGGTCCTCTGCATACATATTACAGCTTTTAGCTTTTTTTAAAAATGGGACTCCTGAGTGTGAAAACAAGTGAGTCTCTGATTCTTGTGCCTGCTCTTAGAACTTCTTTTGTTGACTTGTCCTGCCCAACTTTGATCTGACGGTTTTTGTTTTATAATATTTTATTTTATTTTGTCATGTTTGGCTGTTATCTCCTAGAAGCCTGTTCTTGTCTAATGAGAGACAGAAATGGAGTGGATCTGGAGATGAGGTGAGGTAGGGAGGAACTTGGAGGAGTAGAGGGAGGGGAAACTGCAAAGCTATATATCAATATATATTGTATGAGAAAATAATCTATTTTCAATAAAAAGAAAAAGTCTCCCTATACCTGGCTATGTGTATGTATGCATTATCTACATGTGTTTATGTTTTCTTATATTGTTGCATGGTAATAAATTGTCTTGTAGTGAATGGTCACATAAATGAAATTGTTAAATTGGTCCAAATTCCTTTTAGTAAGTAGTGTATAATTGGAGTTTCTGGACAAAACTCCTGGCTCTGACAGCCCCACTAGGTTCAGCTTCAATAGAAGTCTAAAATACCAAGGCTATTGATGAGCACACACACAGGTGAGATGTGCACATGTGTGTATATGTGTGTAGATATAATCATTTTTAGGATGGTTTTAAAGTTCTCTAATATAATGTCAAGGAACACAGAGAAGAGATTTAATAAATGTGGCCACGTTGGCAGAAGCAACTAGAGAGGTGTGATGGCACTTTATTTGTGATCCTGATATGCGTTTTATTTTTAAATAGGAAACAAATTTAAACTGCTTAACTGGGCAGGCTTAATCATTGCTCAGTTGATCTAAGAAGAACCTATTGCTTGAGGGCATCTTCTCCAAAGATGACTGCTCCTGTTCCAAGGTGTAACCTTAACTTTGTGGATGATTGCTCTAGGCTCCACAGTTCCTGGACCTGATTGACTAGACAGTGATTAATTCCCTGTTTGACATGCTTATGCACAGAGGTAAGCAGATAACCTGAAGAAAAGGAGGCAGGCACAGAGTGGAGAAAGACATCACAGGCTTCTATTTTGCCTTTAGTTGCTGAGAATATAGAGAAGTTTTGAAGACTATCAACAAGGCCTATTTCAGATACCACGTTCTGTGTTTTGTTAGGATGCAGTTATTTTATTAAGAGAGAAATTTTGGAGAGAGTGAGCAAGAGCCAGGAAAGACTGGCATGAGGCAGCAGTAGGCAAGAACTGTGCTCAGTAGCTCCTCTCCACGCCTCTCTGTTCCCATTTCTGATCCATCAGCTTCCCTGTTAGACGAGGTAGGGCTCTTTGGTGTTCTGTCAGGAACATGCAGTGGCCAGGAGACAAACAGTCAGTGGTGTGGGCAGTGAGGGAAAGGAGAAGGGGTTATCAGGGAACCAGAGTGGACACCCACAGGTGGCAAGACATCCACTAAGGAGTTGGACCAATGGGTTAATGTTTGAATGTAGATGCTGTGTACAAAAGCTAAGGAAAATTAACAAAGAACCAAAATGTACAGGAACTTTATTAACCTTATAGCATCTGTGGAGACATGGTCAATTCTATGATCTTATGGGACTCTTTAGAATTGGTAGAAAAATCAAAGATGCAAAATATCAGTTCATAGGTGACATGCAAACAGAGGTAATCATTCCCTGGAGCCTGTGACCACTCTTGTAGCATTAAAAGTGTTGTCTTCAGAATGTATTATAGTATTGCCTATAAAGCAAAAAAGGAAAAAAGAAGAAAAAGAAAAAAGAAAAAAAAAGAAGCCACTCAAGCACATGACTTTTACTGTGAATATCTATAAAATTATGGACGTGCCAATGTGTGGATGTGTTTTACAGATCTATTTGATCGTTTTCCACTTAGAGATGTGGTAGATGGATGGAAAGACTCTGTGTCCATGATGGCCTCTCCCATCCATAGATATACTGGGTAGTAGTTTGTAAGAAATTTCACATGAGGGTTCAATGTGTGATCGGTTGTGGTTGCGTTGAGATGATTGTGAGGGAAGGGTAACTTACCATGTGGATAAGATACTTCTGAAACATTTAACTATGCCAATAGTATCATGTTAGTGTCTCATGCTCACCAGCATAATACATTGGTGCCATGACTGAAATGTGATTTTTATTTTTTTGTGTACAATTACTTTTATCATTGTGGGAACCAGGGAGCTATCATGGCATTAGATGATAGTTTAAGATATCTTTTTCTTCAGTTTCACCTAGCACACCTCGTCATGGAGAGCCTCATATTACCCAGTGCATTCCATGCTATTTCTTGAAAATTCTTCCCAAGAACACCTTTCTTTGTGTGTGGACATATGCCTGGCTTATGCTACAAAACAGTATCTATGTGTTTCTGTAACAAATAGTGACCTGTCTTGACATTATGCCACATCATGGATCAAAATGTGCCATACTAATGATGAACATTTAGTACAGTTGGAGATTGAAATTCAGTACATTTTGCTCTGGATTGGTCAGTTCAGTAGTTTACCTGCTGTATTTATAGTAACTATTTTTTTATTTTGGTTTTTCAAGACAGGGTTTCTCTGTGTAACTTTGCGCCTTTCCTGGAACTCGCTTTGGAGACAGACCAGGCTGGCCTCGAACTCACAGAGATCCACCTGCCTCTGCCTCCCGAGTGCTGGGATTAAAGGCGTGCACCACCACCGCCTGGCCAACTATTTTTTTTTTTTGACTGGTTAAGCAAGAAGGGCAACATGATGATTTGCCTTCCTTGTGCTTGCTTGAAAAGTGTTAGTTATAATATTTAACTGGCATGGTCTAATAGAGTTAGATTTTTACTTAAAAAAAAATCACCGTTGAATTCTACTTAACTTATTAGCCATTGTTTTATTGAAATGTGTAATTAACTGAAGAAGAGATTCTTCTTAGAATTCAAGTATTTATTTTCACTTAGACTAACTTACTGTTTCATGTTGGTCTGTTGATCTGCATATTTCTTTACCAGGAAAGTAAAAAGGGACCATTGTTAGGGTATGGGAATGGGCGAACAATAGAGAGGGGAATCGTAGGGACCAAGTGATCTGATTGGGAAAATGGAATAAAAAGGGGGGGCTAAGTATGGGGGGAAGATATTGTAGAAGGAGGGTAAAATAACAGTAAGGATGTTTGAAAAAGTCATAAGTAATCATACTACAAACTATTTACCTAAAAAAACCTATAATATACATAAGTCAGTGTATAAGTATACATACACAGTTAAAATAAAACATTCTCATTTTGGCTGACAATACTTTCTTCAAGGAACAAAGACAACCTAACAAAAACTCCAACCCTAGGTAGGAGAAGCTCTCTTTTTAGTTTTTGGACAGGTTTACCAAGAGACTCCGTAAATATAAAGACTGTCACTACTGTCCTTAGTTGCCTCCCCAGAATTGGAAGGTGAAGTCCTTATGGCTGAAGACGTCATGTTCTTCAGATACAAGACCCAGAGGACCATGAGTTTGATCTGACCTGAAAGCCTCCTCCCTGGGGACTAGCTTTCTTGGTACCAGAAGGCACCATGCAAGCTTCCAAAGGAGGGGAGCAGTCAAAAGTTCTACCCAGCTGTGATGCCCATGAACCCCGACAATGACCAGCATGGCCACAGTAACCTTAAGGGGGCACTGGAGGCATGAATGTCTTGGTGGTAATTAACAACTCTCTTAACTTGGACTTAAGACCCATTCAATGAGAGGGAAATCCTGCCTGATACTGGAAGCCTAGAAACTACCCAGGGCTAGTGAAGTCATGTATCTTGGAGGAAAACCTATAATTACCACTTTACTAAACTAGCATAATCCCTGAATATACGTGTCATGCCCACCGATAAGTGTAGTCCTCATTCCTCATTAAGGAAGCTTCTCTTTGCAATAGATTGAGACCATTACAGAAAACCACAGCTAATTAAAAATGCAAAGTTCGTGGCGTTCGGTCCCATTGATGTATCTATAATTCAGCTCCCATGCTTAAGGCCCAAGGATCATTGAGGAAGAGGAGCCATAAAGATTATAAGAGCCAGAGGAAAAGGGAGTTTGCTGTGAGATTGTGTCTCCTAGGAATGTTAGAAGTTACACGCATAAAGTGTCACGAACATGACTGCCTAAACATGAGCTAAACAAAGACAACAACAATAGACATGTAAATATGGATGGGGAGAGCCCATGAGGCTGCAACCCTACATAAAGAATTATAGGCAACAAAGAAATGCTCAGAGTGGGAGAAATAATCACTCCCAGAGAAGAGCACACCAACTGTTTTTCCAATATCCAAAGCTCAACCCTGAAAACACGCATACATGTAATATTATACAGAATGAGTAGGATATATTTAAGAATATATATATATACACATATATATGTACAAACATATACAAATATGCATGTAACAACAATTGATGCAAAAAGGCCATGAATTTGAAAGAGAGCAATGAGAAGTATATGTGAGAGTTTGGAGGGAGGAAAGGGAAGGGGGGAAATGATGTAATTGTACTATAATCTCAAAAAGAAAAGAAAAACAATCTGATAAACCTCTTTGCTCTGTGGAAAATGAACCGTGAATGCAAAAGTAGATGTGGCAATGCTATCACTCATTCATCTCGCAAATATTTATCCGGTGTTTTCTATATCCAAAGCCCGCAGCTGCATGGTATGTCACATTAAATAAAACAACGCTCTTGCTTTGTCCTAGTGAAGGAGCCAAGACATGAAGAAACAGATATGCAAGGCCAGGAGGTGAGACAGGGGGGAAACTGGAGGTGCTGTTTTCCACGAACTACTGAGGTAATGCTGCTGTATCTGTCTGGGGGCATCCGAGTCGGGACCTAAATCAGCAAGGCCAATATGGCTGGGAAAGACATTGGAGAGGCAGCTGTTACTCATTTCCCCAGGGAAGGCCTTTTTCCTAAGTATGCTGAGAAGTCATTGGAGGGTTTGGATGGGCAGCATAGCACCTGTGACTTATAAATGGTTCTCTGGCTTCTACCTGGAGAAATCACCATGAAGGGGCAAAAGTAGAGGCAAGGAAGCCAAACCATGAAGTTATTGGTCAGTCGAGATAAAGATGGCTCAGATCACGGCAAGGGCAGTGGAAACAGAGAAATGTCCGCAGCTGCAGGGAAGCCAGCAGGTAGAATGGCTGAGGTTTGCTGCCACTCTCCTTTAAGGATGGGACAAAGGGAGCTCTAAAGACCGACTCCAGGATTTGTCAAGACCTGCAGCCCAGAAACAGGAGCAGGTGTGGTGAATCAGGGAGGTCACAACTTTATGTTTAGGATCTAGGGGTGTGTCCTGAGGGAGTCAGACACAATGACTTGATCCTGGAACTGAGAGGTACTGTCTGTCCTGGAAAATTAATGATGGTGTAATTCAGATGAACAGCCCAAGGACAGGTCAACCACTCTTCTCAAGTGAGAAAAGAGCCAGTACCTCCCACAGGCAGCTGCTGAAGACCAGGGTTGCAGGATGTTTGCTCTGTTGATGCTGGGGATGGTGTTTCTGTCCTCCCCATATCGGGGTAAGTCCTGGTGATAAGGAGGCAGCTGGTGGCTGCTTAAGAAGTGACTAGATGCTGGGAAAGGAGGGGTTTCCAAAACTGGCTGTGGGGCTGTGGAGGTCTGGGAGATTGTGACAATGGAGACCGCCTTTCTTTCTCTTTGTAGGTGACCTTCATGAACTTGAAGGTATGACCGTGGCTGGTGTAAAGGTTTTGGTAAACCGTTCATTTGTGACATGTTTAGGAGTAAACTTCCCTTCAATTTACTATGGAATCCGTAGAGTTCAGTCTTCTCCCGGCATACTTCCTCTATTTCTATTAGTAAGGAAGTGAAAATACCTTTGCTTCCTTTTACCCATTACTGACAGAATATTCAGTTTAGACAAGATGTTTATTACTTGAACCCTATGGGTAAATTCTACAGGAACCCTGACTTCCTCAAATGGTATACATTTGTTTTATGTCTATAAGCTTCTGTCTCACATTCCCAGCACTTGGGAGACAAAGGCAGGTGGATGTCTGTACGTTCAAGGCCAGTCTAGACTGCATGAAGAGTTTCAGGACAGCCAGGGCTACATAGAGAGACCTTGCCTCAAACAAAACAAAACATTTCTCTCTCTCATAATTATTATAGGAGTCCTATTTGGGCAAGGTTAGAACTAATGGATTAATAGTTAACTCCCCACAGAGAAGGATCTAATTGCAAAAATTTTCTCAGAGACCACAATCACTAAGTACTTCTTTCTGTATCTCAAAGATCTTGGAACAATGTGCTATAAATGTAACAAATATCATCTTGGGTTATGCTATGAAGTCATGAGTTCCTGCACACTGAAGCATAGACAGTCCTGTGCTGCTGAGAACATTTACGTACTCACAAGGAAAGGTAATGTGGGGAATAGAGTGATGGGCAGTAAACCACATGTTCCCTTCTAAATAGTAGTGCTCTTTGTGCTTAGGATGAGTGGGATAGTGGAGTTGATGAGGATGAGTGGTCTTGTATAGGGGTGGAAAGATGGACCTTTCCCTGAGATAACACTGAGTAGTGGAGGGGTTGATGTCTCTGGTCAGTTCTGTAATAAAATCCCTTCTGTGGGTTAGCAATGAGAAAGAGAAGTCTATGATAGTTTGAAGATGAATTATTTCCAGGAATATAGAAAGAAAGAATAGTCTTTAAAATTCTTTCCCTCTTTCACTTCCTCAGGGCAGAGTATGTATCATTATTCGAGACTGTCATGTATGACCAACTGTGAGGACATCAACTTCCTGAGTTTTGAAAAGAGGACAGAGCTTATCTGTTGCAAACATAGTAACTATTGCAACCTCCCCATGGGACCCTAGTTCTGAATTTCCTGTGGATTTGTGGTCATTCTTCAACTTCCTACCCGCTCCCTTTCCCCCAAAGTCTGTATTTGCTCTCCTCTCCTAACTAATGGTAAGTGAGAAAGTCATCTGGCACTGAAAAGGGAAGTAGTCATGGGAGAAATTGGGCTGGAAGCTCATCATCATTGCCAAGTGAATCTTTGCAAATTCTTGTTCTCACATCTGGCAGGGCACTTTGGTTCACTGACAATGCTGCTTGTTGTGAGTATGCTCAGAATTAGTGATCTCCTATATGAAAACATAAAGTCTTGGGTCAAAATCAAATCCCCACTTTGTACAGGAAAACCTGTGAGTATGCTGTCTTGGTCTGTACCAAGTCCTCTGAGTTGGGGTTCTCTTTGGACTAGCTCTGAGACTTCCTGGCTCAGTACTTTTGACCCATGGATTCTGGAGATAGGGAAGGAGTGGGCCCTGCTTCCCAGTTTGCTGATGTTCTGAGACAAATTTTTGTCTAGTAGATTTCATGGGGGAAATCTCCAGTGAGAAAAACCTAAACAAACAGAAAGATTAAACAACAAAACTTTAGGAATCTGTGGACGTTGTCATTGATGCAGAAGCAGTTTAGTGTGTGTGGATCTGGTTTGTATTATCAAGGCTCTGGGTTGAACCAGGTGATTGGATTAGGGATTGAGGTCTTGTTCAAAATTGAATACTCAATTTCTTCTGATGGGAATGAAGGAAAAAGTGGAAATGGGTTTCTATCATAGTTAAAGGTAACAGAATCTGCAGATAGCATGAGGTACCACTCTAGTGTCCTTTCTGTTGCTGGGATAAAACATCCTGACCCAAACTAACTGAGGATAGGAAAGGGCTTGTCTGGCTTATACTTCCAAATCTTAGTCCAACACGGAGGGAAGTCAGGGCAGGAACTCGAGCCAGGAGCCTGGAGGCAGGAACCATAGGAGTACAATGCTTGATAGCTCATCTGCAGGCTTATGCTTAGCTAGCTGTCTCATACAATACAAGACCACTTGCCTAGGAATGATACCACCCACAGTGGTCTGGGCTCTCTTATGTCAATAAGAATAATCAAGATTGTCCCCCACAGACATGTCCACAAGGCAATCTGATCTAGCAATTTCTTTTTTTTTTTTTTTGGTTTTTCGAGACAGGGTTTCTCTGTGCAGCTTTGCGCCTTTCCTGGGACTCACTTGGTAGCCCAGGCTGGCCTCGAACTCACAGAGATCCGTCTGGCTCTGCCTCCCGAGTGCTGGGATTAAAGGCGTGCGCCACCACCGCCCGGTGCAATTTCTTAATTGATTGTGCTAAGCTGACAAAGTTAACTAGGACATGGTTTTTGGGTAATAATGTATGCCACCGTAAGACAGAGTTATGAGTAACAGAAAGAATGAAAGAGTAGAAGTTAACACCAGTAAGAGGAGAAATATGCAGACAGCATATGCATCAAGCACCAAGGTATAAACAAAACCAGAGTAGCACAGACACTGGAGCATCACACGAGGGGCCAAGGTGGACAGAGGGTAACCAAGTTTCTCTGGTTAGGAAGCCTACTGCAATCCCCGCTCCTGGATTCCTGTGAGCCTTCTCAACTATATTATGCCACAACAAATCCTCCAATGAACAAATTGTTCTACTTGAGGAATTAAATGAACTTTCTCTCCTTGTCTTGTGTCGGAGAATGTAGTTGTTATTTTTGGGGAATTCCCAATTTGAACTTTATAGTCAAGGATGGATAAAAAAACACACAAAACAAAAACCACAAAACAAATAAACACCCATCCTAACCAATCCCAAACCCCCAAATCAAACCAAACCAGAAACCGTGGAAATAGTTTTTCAGAATAGACAAGCAGGTTGGAAAAGCCAATGTAATGTGGGAGTTTGAGTTTATGTCATGGAATTTTGATGTATCTGGACTCTTTTAACCCTTAACTCACGAGGATTGTAGAGGTCAATGCAGGAAAAAAGAATGTTATTTGGCAGTGGGTTTCAAAATTACCTTTAAAAAGATCCCGAACCAATGTTTAACAAAGCCAAATTTGGATTTTGCTGAGCATGAAGAGTTGTAAGCTTGTTCTGTGCTTCATGAACAGATATCAGGAATAGGAGCCTCACAGCACTGGGTTTTTATGCAGACATGGGTGGTTTTGGTGCTGCGCAGACTCTGTCCTGGTCAATGTACCCAGTTGCATGGATCTTTGACTTTTGAGAGCTCAGTGGCTTACTTATCTATAAATTTTCTCTCTGTCAAATGGGATTCGCTTTGTCCACTTGCTAAACTCTCAACCAATGAGTGTCTAGAGTATTGGACCAAGGTATGGATAAGTCTGTGGTATAATTTATGCCAAGCACATTTTATAAATGGGACAAGTCTAAAGCTAGTCTGTAACTGAGACCACATTTTTATTAACGTTTTCCTCCTTCACTTCTTTGCTCCATTTTTCTCTAAGTTTTAGAGGGGTGGCATGACGAACACTAAGCAAGTACTCACTGAGCTACCCCCAACCCTATTCTCTCTCTAAGTTTTAAGTTGGGAAACAACCCCAACATTGGGAATAGAGCTCTCAAACACGATGAGCCAGGTTGGAAAATGAAGTTTGTTTTGTTTCTCTTGAGAAACAGGGTGCAGGGTCTGAGGACATTACTCATGAAAGAGGAGACTCTTGGATGTAGGATTCCTCACAACCTGGATGAAACTGTCCTCATCCTTGAGGATGTTTTCTTTTACGTCACCCACCATGGGATATTCTCCCCAGTTCTAGTGTGCAATTTGGGCAAAAGAACAGGGTAAAACCTGGCTGAAAATCTCTTTCCCCAAATGATGCCACACCAAGCATCTTCTTTATTTGGCAGATGCTCCTCTTTCATGTGTTAGAGTAATTACACAGGGATTATTTTACAGATATCCTCTTAAGAATTGTACTTGGGTCCGCAACCTGTGAATCTGCTATTGACCAACAAATAATTCACACACCTTCATATATTAATCCAAAATGAATTTCACATGTATTAAAGCTGTAATTGTGAAAAAATCAAATAAACTTTGACTTTAAAAAGTTTGTTGCATCTATCATTATTAGTTTTTAATATATGCTTGACAAATTCTAAATACCTTACATATATGTGTGTAGCTATATAGTCCTACATACTTTTCACTGTTTCTATAATGTAGACAAATTGATAGATAAGCAATCTGATAACAGGCTGGTGACATAAATAGACAAGTATTGCAGTTTCTGGTCATGACTGTTGTCATCACGATGACCAAGTCAGTCCTTGACTGAAGCAGCTTAAGGCAGGCAAGGTTTATCGTGACTCCTGGTTTCAGGTTTCCTGGTGAGGAAGGCATGGTTGGATTCACCATGATAGGGGACTTCAGCCTGAACTGTTTAGATATGGGAAGGTCAGGGAACACAGGCTGTACTGGAGCAGGATTGAGCTACTGACCCTCAAAGCTGTGAGTGGCAGGCTAGGCCCTATACACCAGTTTCCATAGCCTCCCCAAACCTGGCCATCAGCCTGGGACCAAATAGTCAAGCATGCCTGTGAAGGAAATTTCCCATTGAAACCATAGTACAGTGCTGTGTACCACATTGGTGAGCACTTGGAACTGTGTGAGAATTTCATCGGTAAACCTGGAGCTTGTCTTTTCTCCCCGATGACCAAAATCTCAGAGGAAGACCAAGGACAGAAGAAAACCAGAAGCTGGGGATTGTATCCTTTGTTTTTTCTTTTGCCCCAGTCTTGGGAGTCCTGTCTGCTGTATTACACTGCTTCCCTGCCTCCACTAGAGGGTAGGAAGTTAGAGAAAAGTCGTGATATAGGAGATTTGGTTACAGCAAACTTTGGAAAATACAATCTGTTACAGATAGTTAATGGCAGAGCCAGAATTTAATCCAAGACCTGTATAATCCCAAGGTTTTTTCTCATTCCGTCCTCACTGTGAGAGATCAAGATTTTTTAAGTGTCTATACAATCTAATGGCTGAGGAAGCTTCTCTAACTAAGCTATCAGTTAAAAAGTGATAGATTTGACCACATATGAAAGTAAATATTTGATTAGTTAAAACCACCCTCTTGGAAAAAAACATAGGAATGCAATGGGAAAAGATTATCTGATAAATAGTTTGTCTCCTAAATATACCAAAGTTCTTTCATATAAATTAATGTAAGATTAACTGCACAATTAAATAATAAACAATGAACAATTAAATAAATTACATAAGTAATCCAAAGGAGGAATATAAATTGTCACTGCACATAAAACAATATCCATTGTCATTTATAATACCAGAATTGCATATAAAGGAAACAAAGACCTCGGAACCCTTGATTAATATATTACCGACAAGAAATGCTAAATGGACCTAGTAATAAATTGCCCCTAACTTCTTACCTTTATACCTATAGGCTGTGCAACTCTCAACCCTTGTCAGAGAAGCTTCTTTTTGTTTGTTGATGTCAACTAATGCTGAGACCCACGATCTGTCAATGTGCAGAGAATAAGAGACTAAGACGGCCAACTCTAAGTGAGACATCTCTATCACACCCTCTTCCCCCAAGGCTGAGGGATCATCTCAGAAGAGAGACCAGAATGATTGTAAGAGCCAGAAGGAGTAGATGTCTGTAGGGAAACAGTATTTGCTGGACATGACAACAAAGTTGCACATAATGAATTCGAATAGACTGAGACTGTATGCACAAGAACCCCACAGACTGCTCCCACAACCCTGTGTTAACAGTTCATAGCCATAAAGACAGAAGGGGAAGACCCCTCTCTCTTTGTATCTCTAGCACAGGTCTCTTTCCACACCCTAACCTTTCGCTCAGCCTGGCGGAATTATCGATGAACAAAATCCAGGAAAAGTTCAAGCACTGATTTTTTTTCACCATGTACATTCTTTCTCAGGAAGCCAGTGGTACATGCTTTAATTTAAGTGGGATAAGAGGCAGGGAGGAAAACCAGAGAAAGAATTAATAAAATATCTAGCCACATTGGGGAAGGTAATAGGCCTTAATGAGGAAGCTACAACTGTTGGTCTCATAAACTGACATGAACAGATATGGTAAATGGACCTGTCAGCTCTCCTTCTACATAACTGTGTTTGTCTCCATAGATCAGTGGGGCTGCTCACTTTTTGCAGTGGGGAGTGGTAGCTACTGAGATTCATAGCTTGTCATAGGAGAACCACAAATAGGACATCTGTATTACTGCTTCCAAGGCTCAGGGAACATGGCAGAGGAGAAGTTGGGAAGAATGGAAGAGCTCAGGGTTGGGGTGGAGTGCTGTGAAATGCTATTATCTGGGGACAACATGACTATTGCACTTTGAACTCATGACAGTTGTGCTTATCTGGGGAGAGACTCATGAGACTCCATCCCTCTCTAGCATTCATAAGCTTAGTAGCTGTTGGGAAAAGGAGAGATGTTTTCTTCATGTCTGTAAATAACCTTTCAAAGATGCTCCTCTTAGCAACCATGATTGTGGTAGTTTGCATGTAATTGGCCCCCATAATCTCATAGGGAGTGGCACTATTAGGAGGTGTGACTTTGTTGGAGTAGATATGGCCTTGTTGGGGGAAGTGTGTCAGTGTGAGGGAGGGCTTTGAGGTCTCTTTTTCTCAAACAGTTAATCAACTTCCTGTTGCCTGTAAGATGTAACACTCTCAGCCCCAGGGCCACATCTGCCTGGGAGGCTGCCATGCTTCCCTTCATGATCATAATGGACTGAACCTCTGAAACTGTAAGCCAGCCACCTTCAATTAAATGTTTCTTTATTAGAGCTGTCGTGGTCATGGTGTTTCTTCATAGCAACAGTAAACCCTAACACTGATTAAACTTACTGAGCTGTACATACACAAGATGTGAAAGTAGAAGTCGTGGGGTAGTGGAGAAGGTGGTCAATGGAGAGGAGGATAAGAGAGAGTAATGGGGTGAGTATGATCGGAACACATTGTATATGTGGAAGAAAATGTCACAACAAAGCCAATTATTGTGTATAATTATTACATGGTAATAAAAATTTAATATATTCTGCCACAGAATAGAAGAATGGAAAAGAAGGATCCATCTTTTGAATTTTAATTTTTTCTGCCCTTAGTACTTGGTTATCCAGTGGGCTTTACTAACAACCCAATCACATGCTGATGTTGATAAGAAGGTTTTATTTGTTCACTTTTTATTGATTTTGGAACAGGAAGGGGCTTTAGAAAAAGGGTGCTTTTCCTCTTACACATAGAAGGCAGAGTCATATGTCTGAAGTCCTTCTGTGTAGTGTGGTCCTCAGGATGTTCTTGTGGAGAAGCCATCCCATCATCCAGATGTTGGAGCACAGAAGCCCAGAAACTTCTAAAACCTTTCATTGCACATGTCATAGCCCCGGCAGCACCTGAAGTTCACCAGGTAGTGGCCCCATCTTATTTTATTCACATTAGCACAGTTCTTTAAGCAGCCCATGAAGTTTAACCAGAGGGTGCCGTCCCCTGCAGAAGAGGGAAGAGCAGATCAGCAAACCCAGGAAAGGCATCTGTAAATCAGCTTCTCTCCAGCCCACGCTGGCATCTAAAAACTACCATGTGGAGTTCACGCTCCATTATTCAGATATGAAGGACTGGAAGGCATTGGAAGGTGGTGGCTCCCCAAAGGAAAAGGACTATAGTGGCGCAGTTTTAAGACTTTGTTGGAGGTAGGAAGGTCATGAGAGAAGTGTGTCAGGGATTAACCACAGTGGGAGGTTTCCGTTGAGAATCTCAAGGCTTGGGTATCACTGAGGATAGGAAACTAGAGAAACCCTGTCTAACCTTATTTACAAGGAGATGCAACCAGGGCATATCATTGACACTGCCCCCTCAACCCTGACCCCACCCTGTTTCCATAGCCTGGAGCCCTTCTTGAAAAAGCCTGGGCAGGTACACAGAGAGCTGCTTTTGTTACTAACTAGCTGCTCTCCAGGGGGTGAGTATTATGTCCATCCAGTCACCTGCATTCTGCCCCGTCTGTTTTCTCCAGGCTTCTTACTGTTGCCTTGAGTATTACCTTTGCTTCAGCGGCCACTTCCATTTCTCTTTGATCATAGTGAATTCTGGGAGTGATATTACCAGCTACCTCGGGAGTCAGGCTGTCTACAGTGACCCAAAGTTTCTCTGTGCTCATCCCCAAGGCCCACACATCCGGCTTCCTCTTCCCCATCCTTCCTTCCTTACCCTACCACTTACTTTTGAAGATCTTTCCAAACATGCAGGCCTCTTCTGCTGTGGCCGTACATATTCCTCTTCCTCTAGAGCACTTTTCCCCGGGGAACTGGAGGTGGCACATTCTACACTGCACAATCTCCACGACTCGAAGAGAGACATGAGAGATGATTCTACTAGGAAAGAGCCCATCTCCCCCTTCCAGTTCGAAGCATGCTTAGGGTTGGAAGGCATTGCCGGCGTGTCCCCGGCCCCAAACCCCACCAAAGCATGGACATGTGCCGCTATTAGAATGGGTGAAACCAGAAGGGTGACCTGAGTTCACGGCCTCAGAAGCTCCAGCTTGGAAGATGGCAGGGATGGAACGGGGAAGCAGAATGAAAAGAGAAGCATCGTGCCAAGATGGTCCGGCTAGGGTTGCTTGGTACTCACCATTATTTTCACCAACGAGTACTTTATCAGCTGTTCAGGTGAGGTAAAGAGAACAAGACTGCACTCTGTCTGAGATTTACCTTCCCTTGCGCTCCCCTCCCCTCAGGCTCATCCTGCATTCTAGCTTGGTGTGTGGAGAGGTTTTTTTTTTTCTTCTATTACCTCGAAGGTGCTCATGCCGTCTTGTACCATTTTTCCCTTTTATCCTCTTCCCCTCAGATTCTTCTTCCCACCCCTAAGGATGAGGCATAGACCCGAAGGAAGGGGACCCACACATGGTTTTTACTTCACTGTCTTCTGTCAGTCGAACCTCCATGATAGGCTCACTTAAGATCGGACAGTGAGAACAGACCTCTGAAACCCAGGAGGTTGCTACCCTGGATTGGGCCACCTGGTTTCTGCCAACCCCACATCCCACTTCTCTGGTCCCTTGCTCTTGTTCCTAGGTTGTCAGTTGCTGCCCTGCTTCTTTGTTAGCCCTACAGACAGCTTCCATCCTGGCTGTCTCCTGCCAGAAGAGGCTGCTGAATGTGGAGAACATGTCTATTTGTGGTTTACTTTGAGCCCCCAGTGCCCACCCACCCCACTCCTCCTGGACTCTCCCTTCATCTTTTTCTTCACTTTCACACCCGTTTCTACTCACATTTGTCAACCTCATGTGCAAATGACGCAGAGAAAACTGTTGAAAAAGCGAAAGGACAGAAGTCATACTCTCTGCGGAGGATCATTTTCCAGCCCCCACTTCACAGCTTCTAGGAATCTCTCGCTCTGTTAGTAAATCATCTACTTCCTTCTACCAGCAAAAGGGCTTTGGTTAAGGTCCCAGTGACCTGACACAGGGTGAGCGGAAGGCACACAGGGGCTGCTCTTTCTGCTGGGTTGCCGCAGCTGGCCTTCATCATGGGAGTTCCCACTCATTCCTGGATCCTGGACATATCTCACACTGGTGACTCTTGGGACTCACCCCTCAAACGGCAGAGTAAGATGAGACATCCCATTAAGTAAGACTTGCCCATTTGGGAGGCAGAAAGGTTCAAGTTGGGACAGGAAGTGTCACTATTTATATACACTGGGGAGGCTGGCTTCTTTAGAGGAGTTAGGGGTGGGACAGTGAGGAAGTCACTGAAAATCATACCCTGGTCTTAGAAAAATCAGTGACTCGTCTTTTCTTTGTAACTTAGGGGGAGAGAGACTGGCTAGAAAACTCCTGGACTTGATTTATTCCACCTCTCAGGATTTCTGATACACACCAGGTGACTGTTTCCCTGAGATCACCTCTATCCTACTAAGGCCTCAAAGGCTCATCATGTAGGGTTCAAGTGTGCACATACATGCAGTACCATGACTGGCCAGTATAAGTCCTTATCTGGTCTCCTACAGAGATTTTCCTTTGGTGCCTCAGCTCTTTGCTTCTGTCTTCAGTACAACCCCTTTGATCATTAAGAGTTTCACATTTTTATTGAAATTTGTCAAGTTGTATTAGGTCAAAGTTTCTCTAGTACTGTGAGTCACAATTCACCAATTATTGTGGTTTCTAGACAAAGATCTATAGAGACAAACTATCTTAAAGAAAATAAATGTATGAAAGATATAAATGTTTTCAAGGTGGGATGTGACTGCCTGCAAGAAGACAAAGCAATATACAGAAACACAATGGAGACACACAAACTGAGGGCCAATTTGTACCCCGCCCCCAGTGCATGGAAACACAGGCAAATGACAAAGACTTTTAACCTCCTGTTTTCGACCTGTACAAAGGAGAACATACATACCACACTTGATTCCTTTGTTTACTTATAAGTGTGAATAAAGACACTGTTCAAACCATACAAAAAGAGTTTCTAACCCTTTTATAGTCACCCTGTAGCTCACGCACATACACACACACACACACACACACACACACACACACACACACACACACAAGAGGGGGGACGAAGGGAGGGAGGTAACACACATATACAGACACACACAAAGAGAGAGAAGGGGAGGGAGGAAGGGAGAGAGAGAGAGAGAGAGAGAGAGAGAGAGAGAGAGAGAGAGAGAGATAGCATGCATGATCTGGTAGTTAATGTTAGTGATTAAGATTAGAATAAATGAAAATGTTATTGACATAGTCAAGTGAACTCAGGGGTACTTGGTGAACTAAAGCCTTGAAAATGGACGTAGTTTCTGAATTTATTGTTAGTCAATAAATTCTCACACTGAGGGAAGAAACAGATCTATCCTCCTGTTTTTAGCATACCTCATCTGTATTTAAAAGATGGATCCAAGGAACTACCAAGATGGCTCCGTGGGTAAGGTGCTTGCTCTTCAAGCCTCAGAGTCCACATGGCGGACATACAGAACCGACCCCTGTGAGCTGTCTCCTAACACAACATGCCAGCTCTCCTCTCCCCAACAGAACAAATAAATAATGGAAATAAGTAAGCAAAATGATAGAATTGCCAAATTAAAATCTTTTGTTAAATTTCTTTGGCAAATATGCATGTGTATATATGTATATATGTATTTTCATACATACATAGTAGGGCATTCTTTTTCTTTTCTTTTTTTTTTTTTTTTTTGGTCTTTTGAGACAGGATTTCTCTGTGTAATAGCTCTGACTGTCCTGGAACTTGCTTTGTTGACTAGTCTAGCCTCATACACAGAGATCTGCCTGCTTCTGCCTCCTGAGGCTGGTATTAAAGGCACGTGCCACCACCACCTGGCTGTAGTGTATTCTTATTACTGTCACCCTTACCCTCTCTTGTCCCCCGCTGTGGCCCTTATTACTCCTACCCTTCTTTCTACAAATCCCTTTCCCACATTCAGGTCTTTTTGCTTTGTTTTGTGACCTGCTGAATTCAGCCAGGGCCATGCATTTTCATTGGTTTGGAACTATCCACTGGAACATGCTGGTCTCACCACTGGGCTCAGAACTTGAAGACAATGGCTGTCCTTCCCTCGGAGTCCATTAGCAGCCCACAGCTTGGAAGGGTGGGAGCACATGGGCTACTTCCTGCTCTGTGATGGGTTGCTGCCAGAGGCAGCCTTGTGCAGGCCTGTCACAGCTATCTACTGGGCTATGAGATCATGACTCCACTAGCTGTATTATGTGTCTAGGTGAGCACTGGATCATCATACTCTTTACTCTCATACTTTTTAGTTTTCTTGCCAACTATCAGGTTCCCACATGGCTTCTCAATGCACTCATCATTTTGATTAACTTCCCCTTCTCATATACCCCCCTTCCTCATTTCTCTACTCTCACACCTGGTTAGCATTTCCCTCTGGCCAGTATTCTCTGCTCTCTGTCTTTATATCACCTACATTCTGCGGTTCCACCTCCCTTGAGGCATCTTTCACTCTAACGATCCTAAACTAGTTTCCTGGATCGTTTTAAAAATATTTATTTTATTTTTAATTATGCATATGTGTGTATGTGAGTGCAGGTGCCTGTGGAGGTTAGAAGAGGGTGTTGAATTCCCTGGAGGTTGTGGTTGTGGTTGTGAGCTGCTTGATGTGGGTACTGGGGAACAAATTCAGGTCCTCTTAAAAGCAGTATGTGCTCTTAACTGCCGGCCCATTTCCTGCCTTCTACAAGTTTTCCAAGTTAAACTCGCAAACATAAAGGATGGACGCTGGGATCTGCATGTGAAAGAGACCACGCAGGTTTGTCTTTCAGGCTTGAGTTGCCTTGCTCAGGATAACTTTTCCAGTTCCATCTATTTACCTGCAAGTTTCATAGTTTTGTTTTTCCTTAGAGTGGAATAAAATTTCATTGTGTTTACTTACTATATTTTTCATTAACCATTCTTCTATTGATGAATGGCTGCTTTTTGATTGCTCTTGTTGTTTGTTTGTTTGTTATTAAATAGATCTAGGGTTGGTGAGATGGCTCAGTGGTTAAAGGGACTTGCCCAATGAGCCTTGTGTCATGGGTTCAATCCCTGGAACTCATATAAAGGTGGAAGTGGAAGGAGGGGAGAGAACTGACTCCATAAAGTTGCTCTCTGACTTCCACATGCTGTAGCATGTGTGCATGCACACACACACACACACACACACACACACACACACACACACACACACATTGTGCACATACACAGATACCTAATAAAAATAAATGTATTCTTCATAAGGTATAGAAAAAGCATAGTTTCGTTGGTGGTGGAAATGTTTTCACACAGTGACCTTGTTGAATAGTTCAATGAGGCTGGTGGTGAGTGGCAGATGGAGGAACAGGGTCTCAGTGTGGACAGATTGCCTGAAAGATCATGGAGTGAAGAGAAAGAGCCTCAGGTGTTGTTCCAATGCAACGCCTCAGTTTGTTGGAATCTGCCCAGTGCCCAAGGATATCTACTGATGACCCAGGGGGAAAGAACAACTTCTTCTCCATCAGGGTTTGAAGTACTGGTCAGATAAGAACAGCCTATCTCATTGCCTCAGCTAAGCAAAGAACATAGCTTTGTGTGACAAGGAAAAAAACAAAGAGCAAAACCAAAACAAAACTAAGTTTCTATTTTCATGGATGATGTGGGGAGCAGAAATCATCTATATAATATGTACCTATCCAAGAAAGAACACGCACGTGTCTTTGGGGATCATTCACGTGCACTTTCTTCTGTCGTGAGACTACCCAGTGCTCAGACTGTCAGGAACCCCAGAATTGTCCATCGTCTCCACTTCCACAGAGTTCCTCTTGTGCTGAGGACAGGGGAAGATATTAATGACAGTGAAGTGGCTAGGGAGGGAGGTCTGGATTCCAAAGGTGAAAAAAAACCCACTAATTTATTTATTGTTCCTATGATAACATAAGGATTAAATGAAATTATCTGAATTTTCCAATAGAATGTACCAATAAACCTGGATGTCTCCTGAGAACAATTTCTAAAGGTGGCCTTAGTTAAGGAAAAACGAGGGGCTCCGCCACTGTTTCCCATGGTAAGTTCAGTGGCCTTAGTGAAGGAGAAACGAGGGGTTCCTCCACTGTTTCCCATGGTAAGTTCAGTGGCCTTAGTTAAGGAGAAACGAGGGGCTCCTCCACTGTTTCCCATGGTAATTCAATAGGAAGGGGAGGCCACACCCAGACACCTCTGCACAGCCTGCCAGCAGTTGTCTTGTGAATTTCTATTTGTTTCCTTTCCATAATTTCTAATAAAGAATAACATTCTTTATTAGAATTGTTCTAAATTCCTTTAGTCTTCAACTTTAGGTTGTGATCAACGAAGAAATTTATCAGACAAATAACCTTATGTTTTACCTTAAGAAAGGACAAAAACAAAAACAACTGAAACCCAGGCCAACAAAAAGAAGATAAGGATAGAGATTTGAACTGAAATAAATGAAACATTAAATGGGAAAACAATAGGGGGTGGACGTGATAGCTTACCGATTAAATGCACACACTGTTCTCACAGAACCCAGGTTGGGTAGCTCACATTCTTCTGTAACTACAGCTTCAGGGGATCCAGTGTACTCCTCTGGCCTCCAAAGGCACGATATTTTCATACACCTCCTACATATGTGCACATAACTAAAAACAAATGAACAAACTTGAGAAGTCAATGAAAGCAAACATTGGTTCTTTGAGTAAATCAATATTGAAAGACTTTCAGCACAGCTCATGAAAATACAGAAAGAGGGAGAGAAATGTAAAATTACTAACCTTGAGAATGAAAAATGGCATATTATTTCTGACTTTGCAGAAGCAGAAAGGACTATAAAAGAATACGATCAACAATCATACACAAACAAATTAGATAACTAGGTGAAATAAACATGTTCCTTGAAAGATGAAATTTCAAAATTTACTCAAGAATAAGCTTAAATTTGAATAGATCTTCAACAAGTATATATACCCAACTAACAATCTAAAGAGTTTCTACAAAGAAAGTTCAGTCTTAGACAGTTCCATTGGTGGATTCCACCAGATGCTTAATGAAAAATGAGCATCAATGCTTCAAATACTCAAAAGTACAAACAAGTGGGGAAGTCTTCCCAGTTCCTTCTATAGGGACAATGTGGTCCCATT